GGAAAAGAAATTAAGTCATCCATCTATAGTCGTCTCAGACCCCAGAACTGCCCGCACTGAAATATAAGATCTCGATGCTCTGGGACTGCGTGTGCGCCTGTGTTTGTATTTAGCATTGCACGTGTGGTAAAGTGGGAGATCGTAATTGCAGACTGTGTCTATGTGGTACTGTCTGTGTGTGTGGAAATAGACAGGCAGATTGTGTAATTGTGTACTGTTCCTTTTTTACAAGAGTCAAGCTGTTTTGAGGAAGATGGAGAGTGGGAGGGATAAGTGTAGGTGGTGGTGGGGGATGTTAGGAAGGAAACAGAGATGGACAAAGAGGGGATCTCCCATCCAGTTTTGAGACCCCCTCCCTTCCCAAAGCCTGGAATCTGTTGGACAGACAAGTGAGCCACCTTGTTTAGTCATGGTCATGCCATTGGAGGACCGAGGGACCCAGGAGCTGCCGGGAGCCCCAGCCTGGAACCTGAAACGCTGCTGCCCATGGCTCAGCGCCCGGAGCTCAGAGCAACATTTCTCGGTTTGGACTGAGCAGAGAAATGCAGCCCACGCCTCACCGAGCCACAAACCATGGGAACACTAGTCGCAGTATGAAAGGCCACCAAGCACTACACTGAATGTGTGAACCCTTTGGTGTCTGTGTGTGTGTGTTCAATTACACAAAGCCTGCCTCATGTTATCCTACTGTAACCCTGCATCGTGGGGGGGGGACTAAAAATAAAATACACAGAGTCATGTAAACAAGCCGCAGTCAAACACACGCACAGGGCCGGGAGAGCAACACGTGGACTGGGGGCGTGAGGAATGGACAAACGCCGGCACTGGGACCACAGCTGGCAGTCGCGCTCAACAACGCACATTTTCCACTCCCAGAATGCAATGGGGGCACTGTCAGTTTAGCTCTGCACAGTATATGGTGCACATTTCTGCCTTTTTGTGTGTGTGCGTGAGCACACAGGCGGCTGAATACGGGCTGTTTATAAGACTAAAGCCAGTTCGGGTCACATAAAAATCATAGTCTGACACTTTGCTCTCCCAAAACAAGGGCTTGCATCTGCCGTCTGCTCCAGCAGTGTTCATAATTACGTGGAAAAAATGACACTGTGTAAGGCGAATCTAATAGGTCTTTCTAGAATCCTAATTCATTCAGCTCATGAAATGGCTGGTCTAATTATATCCTTAAAAAGTGTTTCACTATTCTGGACCATTTCTTCTTTTTTTCCCAGTAACAACCAGGATTGTGCATAATACAAAACCACCCATGTCTAATGAATAAACATCCTTTCCAGTAAAGTAGTTGCATACTTGTGAAAAAACTGGAACCAGGTATTTCTCAAGGCAAAACAGCAGATTCTAAAAAAGCAAAAAAAAAACAAGTTCCTTGGTAAAACAAAGTAAAATCTTAATCTTAATTGGAAATGTGTGGTGTTGCCATGGCGCTGGGGAAACGGTATGGTCTTCATTCCCATAATGTGGCTGTTGCATCCCGATGGTCCCGGGGTCACATTGCAGCCTGTTTCATGTGGGTGAAATTCCAGTCCGTGACCAACCGATGATAATCTAGGCCGGATGGCGTGACCCAGACCTGGATGCTGTGACATGTTTACAGGCCCCGGAATCAACTGCAGCGCAGCTGTCCCCAAAATGCGTCCCCAGAGAAACAGCGACAGACGACCGGGGTAAAATACAGCACGAAATGTCACATTACTGACAGCCACGACCAGTTGAATCCCCCTCCACCCAGTGTGACACCCTTATGTATTACTCCCACCCCTCAAACACAGAAGATAAAAAGCTGAATTCTCTGCTGGGACAATGGCCCTGTTGCCGTGCGGTGACAGGGCGGGAGCTGGGACTCAGCTACTGAAAGACCGCCCTGTCTCTACCAGGAGCGGGACAGCAGCGTTCTAGGCACTCCGATTCGGGACAGCGGATGCACCCCTGGGTCCCTCAAAGGGCTCCCTGTCACTGGCATGAGGATGGCGCACTGGGAGGGGCACTGAAAACAGAGCAAAAGACAGAAAAGAAAGCGGGGAAGCATGGAGTTGATTCAAGTGAATACATTCATATTCATTTATGTGACATGTTTACCCAAAGTTAGGGGTTACAATTTTGGATTGTTAATACAATACTTTACTTGTTCAGCTACATACATACACAAGCTACATGCACACATTCCTAATGTGGGTACCTTGGTGGATCAGTAGGGGGCACTGTTGCCTCACATCTCCAGGGTTAAAGGTTTTAATTCCACTTCTGCTCTGTGTGCGGAGCTTCGTGTCATGTGGGTTTCCTCCACGCCGATAGGTTAACTGGTGTCACCCATTGCGTGTGCTGAAAAACTACTGACTCAAAACCGACACATAGTCTGACCGTCGGCACGGCAGCTAAGCACTGTATCTCTGTGGCTTGATTTTCCAGCAAAATGCTTCCATGCATGTAATAATTCAGCAGGTAACACTGCTGCCTCACCCCCCAGGGGCATGGACTTTGCATACTTTCCATCCACAGAACACCACGGACCCTCTGGCACCTCCCTGCTCAGACGTTGTGACATAGAAGTTAAAGGCTGTTAGAGATTTGCCCACCTCCACTCAATCCTAACTTCCCAGCCCTGCTGACCAGTCCAGAGGCCTTTCGTAGAGTTAGGGTGACCAGACAGTCCATGTCAGGAAGGACACTTTGAGCTACTTCGGGTTTTACAAACTACTTTCTAATTGAAAGGCTCCTGTGCTCGGCTAAATAGTTTAGCTCTTCTTGTGCTTTGACTGGTTTGTTTCCTTGACTGAAAGACTCATCCAGCTGTTTCACATTAGCATTAGTGACACATNATAGGAGACTGACCAATCAGCACACAGCAAGAACTGAGTGCTCAAGTGAAATCCAGGTCCGTTTAATTGAATTGGTAATTTACAATTCCTGTCCTGGCTCAGAGTGTCCTCCCTGACATGGATTATCTGGTCACCCTACTATAGTAAACCTGAGGTTCAGCAGTTTACCGTCCTCATTCCTTTGCACACAGCTGTCTACCTATTCAGTTCCACTCACGTTTAAGTGACAGCCTCTGCAAAAGTTTCCTTAAAGTGCAGAACATTTAGCACCAGAAACCACAGACGAAATAATAGTGAAGTTTAAATGCCTCAGAAGTCCCAAGGCTGAATAAAGCAAAAAAAGACAAAAGACGAGATGAAACAAAAACTACTTAGGGTTGAGTTCACAGTCAACCTCACTCTGACTCTGTACAAACCATCAACAGGTGGGCATGAGTCCTTGCCGCTAAATCCAGGCACGGAATAGTAGCGGTACCTTGTACTATAATTCGGACTGGCGCTACATTACTCTTCTAAATGGCCACTGCCTGCTCATTCCAGGAACAAAGAGAGGAAATTCAGCAGGAGGCGCCGTGATTAAGGAAACACACTCCTAATCAGCTCAGGTCCATGTCGGGGCGCTGGTAATTTACCTAGTAGCGCGGTAGGTAACCTGTATTCCCGTAATAAAACATCCATTGGTAAAAGATGGTATAATTGCAAGTTGCTTTAGATGGAAATGTCGACTAAGCAACGAAATAACACTTATTACATTGCCGTCTTGTTTTTATTTATTTTATTTTGAAATTCTTCTATTTCGGGCGGTGTTACTAGTCATCCCCTCCAAGTCCGCTGTCTGCTGCCCCTTGCGGAGCCCTGATAGCGGAGTTAGTAAAACGGCCAAGAGTAGCTGCGGAGAGGGGGCGGGATGATTAACTGCGGTCGGTAATTAGAGTCCGGCGGCCATGCTGTGCATAGCATGTGCTTCCGCAGAATTATGGCTATTACTGTGCTACGTGCAAAAAGTTTCGCATTGGGAAGCCGCAGTTAATTAAATACGCAGGCACGACTACAACTGTCCACGCACATCTCACCCGAGCGCCAAAGCGAACCCTGCGCCCAGCGAACACTCCCACGTCTGTGCATTAACTGTACGGCCAAAAATTCCTTTCGGTGCATTTGAGTATGACAAAAAAAAATTAGACAAATCAAACATATATCATCACTTGAGCACTGGTACGTATACAGGTTTGTTATGTAAAAATTTCTTAATTTTCTCAATTTCTTACATCACTGGCTCCCTCCAGAGGCCACCGCAGGAACTCCTACATTATAGGTGATATTTTGGAGATCACTTTTCACATGCACTTTCCAGGTAGGAAGCAAATGTTTTTCCAAAGCGACTTACTATCATTACGGCCGAATGTGTTACCAAATGATATCATGAATTATAATTATTCTAACAGTATCTGCCACATACAGTGTACATCACTGCTTCGGTACTTTTCTGTTAAATCTTTAAAATCACCTCCTTTGTCACAGTTCTTTAGCTGAGAGGTGCCCTTCCTCCTCTCTCAAAAATGAAGCGGTCAGGTGAAAAACTAAAAACCGGATGCCATAGCAGCTTCCAACAATTACCTGTACATGAATCAGGGCCTGCAGGTCGCTAGATCCTGATTCCAGCCACCTCAGCGCATCGTTGGACTTTGTACATGAATAAAGGCACAAAAATTTAAATCTAAGTGATTCAGGCAACTGATGTTACTTCCGTGGATATATTCTTTTTGGTCAAGTTCATTATTGTGATGTTCCTTCTTCCTCCTTTACCTTCGGCTTTTCCAAACACAATGTCTTTCTCCAACCCACAGGATCTTCTCTTAATACACCCCAAACAAGAACTTTAAACATACTTAGACTGCAAAGATTAGCCCCAACTTCAAGGGAGAATCACGCTCCAGCACTCCATCATTCACATGCCTTAATGGCGTGACTTACACGTTTGCTTAAAGATTAATGCTGAAATGCCAGCAAACATGTACATCTGGAAGGGAAGTGTTCGCATGCTTCGATGTCTGTGATCACACCATGAGTCACATGACCAGGACCAACAAACAAATCTTCAGTGGACAAAGCAAAACCAAAACAGGTTGCTGATCTACTGACTCCTGCTCAACTTGTGCAAGACGGTCAAATTTAACTCATCGAAATGCTAGTTTATTGTGATACTTTCCCAAGAAAAGATTAACAATGAGCTGAACTAATGGCAGCAACAGAATGATTAAATGTAATGGAACAAAACAGGACTGAACAGCACTCTTCTCCCTTTTCTTTAGAAGACTGTTGCTGGGGTAAGTCTTCTAGTCTTCGCAGAGGGAGTACAGAAGAGCTATCTGTTCTGCGTACTCGAACCCTGGGCTGTAGAAAAACAAGAACAATTACATATAGTATATCAGACAACACATGGGAGAAGCTGGAGAACAGGTGAATCCTATTTTTGTGCAAAGTAGTGATTTATAATGAAAAAATTTAATATTATAGCATGCAGCCAAACATTTCAGCCAGTCCAGTCTCCATCACCCATTATTGTATGGTCCTGCTGCACCAATTAGACACTGTCCATGTTTATTGTTATTGTTTACAGGGGTTTATTGTGCTGGGAATTCTTTATTTAGGTAGTGCTGCTGCACAAAAAAAAATCTTTCTTGGGATTCGCAATAAAGTTCTATGTTATACACCTTTAATGAGGACTTTGCCAGCTGTGTATCAAAACAACGCTGCCCCCCTTCCCTCCCGTCTACGACTTACCGGCCAGGGGTTTCCAAGATGAGAGGGATGTTGTCAAGCAGCGGTTCGTTCACGATATCTCGGAACGTGGGTAGCCCAATTTTGCCACGCCCGATATCTTCATGACGGTCCAGGTTACAGCCAAGACCACCTGTGGACAAGAATCGGACTGAAGCGAGGACCTCACTGGCCACTTCTCTTTGCAGTGTCATAGAAGGCGGATTTGTGGTCCTGATGACCCAAAGTGAACGATGGATTCAGCAGAGCTACAATACTGTCAAAATTAGTTAAAAAATATTTACTGAAGTATTATTTTAAAAATTTCTAAATGAAAAAACACAGTTAAGATTTTTAAACTTGGATTTCGATATCTGAAAGACAAATATATGCCACAAAAGACTATTTAATTTGGACAACAATAGTCTACCTTTTGAGTCATTGAGATGAACGGCACGAAGATACCGGAGTCCCACTATCTTATCAAACTCCTCCAGCACTGACTTCACCCCTCCCTTTGCAGAGAGGTCATACCCTGGTGAGAAAGGCCAATACTCAACGTCTTCTAAAAGACAAAATGCATTTCTACTACTCTTGCTAAAGATTACTGTTAATTCAAAGCAAGCTAGATTAACGTAATACTTTATAAGAAATGACAATCAAATGAAAAAAGGGAAGAGTTAATCAGTAAATCTGGTGCTGCCCTCCTAATCCTGTTGCTTCTAGAGTAGGGCTGTCACTTTTAAAAAAAATCAAGTACGAATGAATTTCAAATGTCACGCAATTCATTGGAATATATATTCGAATACCCATGGAGAAAAAAAAAATCCACAACACAGAATCATTCTTTTCAGAATTTTATTAACAGCCCGTACAATGTAACATAAAGCCCCTAGAGGTCAGGGTGGGAAAATATTTTTGAATTCAATAGCCCTGCTGTCTTGTATAAAGTCACTGGCAGTGAATGGACGCAGTGCAATTACTGATAAATACGTATAAAAGCACATAAATTAAAAAGTTACATGGCTGTGCATTGTCCCCCATAGTTTAAAGCATAAAGCACACTTAGAGTATAAACTTCTGTATCGTTTAGGTTTATCCTTGCGGTCACGTTGCAGCAAATAGCAAGTGGGCAAGTGTAGTGCGATCGCAAAAGTATTCTAATGAGTATTCTAAAATTCTAATGAGTTAATTATTGTTCGAATGTGAATTTTTCACTTCATGTTCAAACGAATGTTCGAAATGTCAGTTAAAAAGTGACAGCACTATTCTAGAGGGCCTCTACTGGGGCACATCACCTCACATGATAACTGATCTAGCATAGCATGACTAGCAGGTTTAAATAGTTTTATCTCCGCAAAAACTGTAATAAAGCGTTATGCTAATGGCTGTGTGAATTTAAAAAGCCCTCAGCATGCATTTCGAGAAACGGCGCTACGCACCAGCGGCGAAAGCGTGGCACGTGTCCAGGCAGACCCCAACGCGGCTCTTGTCCCGCACCTTGTCGATGATGCCCCGCAGCTCGCTGAACTCACCGCCCACTGTGCTCCCCTGTCCGCTCATGTTCTCCAGAACTGCCAAAAGAGAAGGTGACTTGCAGTGCAGCTAGCAGACCAAGGACAACTGGGGAAGGAAGAGAAGACTGAAAGAAGGCAGGTGAGGGAGATGGGTGAAGGTGAGGAAGCAGAGGATGAAAGACGAGTAGAAATATACACAGGCGAGAAAGAACAGGGTGTCAGAGCAGCACGACCCAATCAGTGTGTCTGTTTACCTGTGACCACACCAGAGGTTTGCTGGTGGGCGTGGTTGATGGCTTGGGCGATCTTCTCAATACATTGCTCTGTAGTGATGGATCCCAGCGAGGCTCCGGGATGTAGGTTAAACAGACTGAGGCCCAGGGCACTGCAGCGGTTCAGCTCGTCCACCAGCATGACCTGGCTCTTCTCAAACACATCTATAGCAGGGAAAACAGACAAACACACTGCCACTCTCCCTCAAAAAGAAGCAGTTGGTCCTACTGGACATAGTGTTGGGTACCTTAATGGCTATCATAACTGCACTGGCAACACTCTTCCAGTTGCAACTGCTCTCTGCTTCTAGGTTTTTTCTTAGTAATTAAAGTAAATCTATATTACAGAATCTTACTAATGACAAAAACACCCCCCCCCCCCAAATATGTATTGTAAATATGTATTGTTCCAGGTTTCGCCATGTACCTTGCAATATGAAAACAAGCTAATAAAAACTACTATTCCAACTTTTGTATCACAAAACAAAGTCAGAAATAGATTCATAATAAGAGCCAGAGTGAGTTTTTGACCTAAGCTCAGGCCCAGATTAGCATTTCAAGAATTAAGGCTCATTCTCCGGCCTAGGGCTATTTAAGTCATGGTCCTCAAGGTCTGAGCCCTGCTGATTTTCCAGCCTTCCTTTACCTGTGAGCCAGGTGTGAAGCCTCTGGCCAATCAGGATCTTTAATTATCAAACTAACTTCCTGGGAGAACTAAACACATGGCCTGGATTTGAAATCGAGCTCCAGGTTTGAAGAGCCCTGCTGTAGACTGTATGGACCTTCTTGAAAAGTAAAGACCATTGCAGATTCAGAGGCACACCAACCTTGCTTCGGGGAACCACAGTTCATCAGGTAAGAGCCATGTGGAAGGATATAGGCTGGTTCAAAGCTGTGCCGAGCGCAGGCCTCCTTGAACTTGGCTGCTGCTGTGCCATCAAGTGGAGGTCTCTGCCATGAGCGCTGGGAGCCGAGGAACAGGCCGAAGCTGCGTGCCCCGATGGTGAGGCTATCCTGTACTGCATGCCATATCCCACCTGTGCATGAAGCACGGAGATGTGCGCTATGCTATTCAGATGATGTTAATTATGCAATATGTTGATTTTTGCAAATTTGAAGCTTGGGACAGAAGTACACATTGAAAAGATATGCATAAAAGGGTAACAGTTTTTAAACTCACCATTTAAACTGAAAAAATAAGCAATACAGCGTTGGCAGTTACCTGATATCGACATGTGAGCACCAATATACTTTTTTACTCCTCGTCTCTTGCTTTTTCTCTCCCTCAAATCATCCAGCACCATTTCTTTGCAAGTTTCTTCCTCATGTGCAGACTCTTCTTTAACCTGTTCATTCTGTTCCCCCAGCTTCTTCTTCGGACTCATGCCCTCCTGTGCAGACTCTTCTTTAACTTGTTCAGTCTGTTCCCCCACCTTCCTCTTCCTCTCGCCCCTCTTCTTCGGACCCATGCCCTCCTGTAGAGACTCTTCTTTAACCTGTTCAGTCTGTTCCCCCGCCTTCCTCTTGCTCTCGCCCCTCTTCTTCAGACTCTTACCCTCCTGTAGAGACTCTTCTTTAACCTGTTCAGTCTGTTCCCCCAGCTTCTTCTTCCTCTCGCCCGTCTTCTTCGGACTCATGCCCTCCTGTAGAGACTCTTCTTTAACTTGTTCAGTCTGTTCCCCCGCCTTCCTCTTGCTCTCGCCCCTCTTCTTCAGACTCATGCCCTCCTGTAGAGACTCTTCTTTAACTTGTTCAGTCTGTTCCCCC